TTCCCAGTAAACAGGCCAGACCACATCACAGTAATCTCGTGATGTGGGTTCTTTAACGTCCCCTGCCGAAATTAACTAATTGATAGGTGCAGGAGACGGGACCTCCGGCTTTACGTCCTATCCGAGAAGACGAAGCAATGTGAGTGAAGCGTCTTGCTTAAGGACACAACGTCAAGCCCCAGCCAGGACTTTAACCCGGGCCATCTGACCCAGAGTCCAGCGCACTGACCACTGGACTACTCACGCCTCGCTTAATTAAGCTTTGGTCAAGTTCAGCTTTATTCAGCTTGAAAGGATATCTACTTAAACGGGATCGCTTCAAAATATTTTCTCCACTTTCAGGCCTTCCTTTAAAATGATCATTCAGAGTAAATCTAAAATGTTATATTTTCGTGAGCTGTCATTTACGTAATGGTAAATTGGAGGGTCCTTTCGTGACCTTTCATTCAATGATTCGTTTTCTTAAGCATGTTTCCTCTGGCACTAACAAGAAAATCAATTCTCATTCAATATGACATGGGATACTACACCCACCCATCCCGCCCCCCTGGGGTGGGATGGGTGGATGTACCGGGCCCGCAGTAATTGGCGTAAGCAGTTGCGGTGTCCCTGCCTGTCGGTGAATCTAAATACTGTAAACTATAAGTATGATGATTGTTAGAATCAAGTTAGGGACAATTAATAACCGAACGAGAGGGGCACTGGGGCCTCTGGGAGGCCGCAAAACCGGAGAAAAAAACCTCCAAAACCGAAAAGCCGACAAAAAAAGGCAGCAAAATCGAAAACCGCATGCAAACCTGACAAAACCGCTACATTTTCACCTTTAAAGGGTTCAAAAAGGAAAAACCGAAAACCGCATCAGAGTTTTGGTGAAAACAGAAAACCGATTGCAAAAACATGTAAAATCCGCAAACCGCTCTGAACATCAAAACCGAAAAACCGAACCTTTTTGGCCCAAAAACCGAAAAACCCTCCTCGTAAAAAAAGCTGAGTTGGGAATGAACGCGGTTCTGATTGCTATCATATTTGTCATGTCTAAACTCTAAGCATTTAATTTTTGTTTCCTCTTGCAGTGAAAACTATTTGTCTCGTCTCGCTATAACTCACAATCTTCACCGACTATCAGTTGTTCTCATTTAAATTTTCCAATCAACTGTAAAAACCTCGATACAGTTGTTGAGAAAACAATTGGTATCTAGAAGTTTCTCCTAGCCCCTCTAATTCATTTGGGTAAGCAAAAAGGTATCGTTTTTAGCTTCCAGATTAGTGCATCGATTGAATACAATACTCTTTTTGATTTCGCACCAGTAATGGGAGATTATACTTCGAGGCAAACGGAGAGACGATAGTTGGATCCGCCACGTCTCGGCAGAGAAATTTCAATCAGTGGCTGCAAGTGGATTTATAGAAGAATTCCACAGACTAATAGAAATTGCTAGACTCATGCACAAGGCTAATGAAGGACTGGGGTTAGGTGACTTTCGGAAAAAAGGAGAAATGATACCGTAGGGGGTGTAACAGATAAGCATTATTACAAATACATACAAAGCATTAAAAGCCAACTTACTCGCGCGCGCTAACCTCCGCCAATAGGCCTTTTGCAGCTAGAGATCACGTGCCTAGATACCGCATAGCAACGCCATACTGGAGAGCAAGCACTTTAGTGATCTCAGACAGTATAGAGGTCACAGAGGTCTGCATTCAAACAAAGAATACAGCGGATAACAAGTCAAAAGGTATCCCAATTCGAGAAATCCAGAAGAAGTAATCAACAGCTTCCCAGAAGTGTATCAGCAGCAAAATCACACCAAAATTCGTTTTTCGCTGATATACTCCAAGGAAACTGTTGATTAAAACTTACAAGATTTCTCGAATTGGGATACCCTTTAACTTGTTATCCGCTGTATTCTTTGTTTGAATCCAGACCTCTGTGATCCCTATTTTGTCTGAGATCACTGGAGTGCTTGCTCTCCAGTATGGCGTTGCTATGCGGTATCTAAGCACGTGATCTCTAACTGCAAAAGGGCTATTGGTTATTTTGATTTTCAGTTAGAGCTTGGTCGAAAATTTGATTCTGATCGATGATAACGCGCTATTTTATAGATAATAATATAAGCGCATGTAGAGATTGTAATAATAAATTATAGGAAAGAAGAAATAACCGTATCATTTATAGAAACAACCATTGACATCAGAGCTAAAAACAAAGACCAAATCCAGACAGTTGCCACTACGATGAGTGCTCTTAATGCGGTTACCAACTCGTAAATGAAGTGACAGCCCAAGATATCTATCCACAGCTATGACTGCGATAGAGTTGAAGGATCGATACCCCAACTTGGAAAAGAGCAAAAAACCCCCAATGTCTTGCTGAGGACGTACTCCAGGTCATCATCATAATCTTCAATCTGGTTTTAATCTGAACAAAATTCTTCCCCTAAAGACTGCTAAGAAGGGTGGGACGACCAAACCTACTAACAAATCAGACATGGCGAGATTAATCAAGAAAACTCTTGAGGGAGGAGCTATGGATGGAGCTGTCCAAAGGGCGTAGACGGATCACAATAGAATTACCAATTATTGTTACAAACGAAGATATGGTAGTGAAAGAAACCAAAACACATCATATTATGGATAAACATTNTGCTTAAAGGACACAACGTCAAGCCCCAGCCAGGACTTGAACCCGAGCCATCTGACCCAGATTTCAGCGCACTGACCACTGGACTACTCACGCCTCGCTTAATTAAGCTTTGGTCAAGTTCAGCTTTATTCAGCTTGAAAGGATATCTACTTAAACGGGATCGCTTCAAAATATTTTCTCCACTTTCAGGCCTTCCTTTAAAATGATCATTCAAAGTAAATCTAAAATGTTATATTTTCGTGAGCTGTCATTTACGTAATGGTAAATTGGAGGGTCCTTTCGTGACCTTTCATTCAATGATTCGTTTTCTTAAGCATGTTTCCTCTGGCACTAACAAGAAAATCAATTCTCATTCAATATGACATGGGATACTACACCCACCCATCCCGCCCCCCTGGGGTGGGATGGGTGGATGTACCGGGCCCGCAGTAATTGGCGTAAGCAGTTGCGGTGTCCCTGCCTGTCGGTGAATCTAAATACTGTAAACTATAAGTATGATGATTGTTAGAATCAAGTTAGGGACAATTAATAACCGAACGAGAGGGGCACTGGGGCCTCTGGGAGGCCGCAAAACCGGAGAAAAAAACCTCCAAAACCGAAAAGCCGACAAAAAAAGGCAGCAAAATCGAAAACCGCATGCAAACCTGACAAAACCGCTACATTTTCACCTTTAAAGGGTTCAAAAAGGAAAAACCGAAAACCGCATCAGAGTTTTCGAGAAAACAGAAAACCGATTGCAAAAACATGTAAATTCCGCAAACCGCTCTGAACATCAAAACCGAAAAACCGAACCTTTTTGGCCCAAAAACCGAAAAACCGATCCAAGAAACAGTCAAAACCGCAAAACCGAAAATCCTAAAGCCCCCCTCCTGGACTGATATTATAATTGTTTTGCTCAACGCAGGTTTTCACCGGAAACACAGACAGGGACACGGTTGTTTATCACGATCTTAACCCGGTCATTGCTGGACGCTTTGTTCGAGTTCTTCCAATGGAATGGAAGGTGTTCATCTCCTTGAGAATCGAACTTTACGGTTGAAAATAGCTGTTAAGGTGAGATAAACCCTATATAGCCCCCACCCTCCCTCCCCCTCCCTGCTGCGTTATTCAAACTGCAACGGAAATTTTACTGCTTTTAGCATAGAGAATGCAGCTGAATTATTTTCCATTGAGAGAATTGCTTACCAATTAAGCAAAACTTACTTCTTCATGTAAAGAAATGGTTCTCCGGTTGACTTTACGCAGCTGCTCAGCCATGGCAAGTGTTCATTCGTTTTTATAAAGGAAGCTTAGATCTTCATAGGCCTTTGGCGGGAGGGGTGAAAGAGGATAGCCTTACTGACCTCCACATATCAACTTCGGTAGTTTCCGCTGGGTTGCTCTTTGATGAGTATCGCTAAACATACTCCTTATAATGACCTTTTTGTTCCTTTGTTTTCGTCTTTGCAGACGAACAACACTCTCAAAAAAGACATTAAAAGGTGAATATCTCTTATATTCACGCCGGAATGCAGAAGTAAAGTTTAATGGGAGAGAAAACGTAGCTGTTCAGCAACATTGACCCCTGCTCTATAATGCATGATCCTTTGACCTTTAAAACGATTCCTCAATTCCGATAATCCATCATTGTGAGTAAGTGTAATGCTAGACTTCGGGCAGTCATTCATTTTCGGCGAATCAAAGTCCGTGCGAGTCGAAGAAAGTTAGCGAGAAAAATATTGATGCTAGCGTACTACTCCCAGAGTTCTGCGCGGCGCTTTGACACCAATTATTTCCTGCTTGTTTTTTTATGACCTGCACGACGGACTTCAGCGAAAAGAAGGGACTTCTTGTTATCTAGGGGGGCTCAGGGACAACGTCATCATAGATGGGTGAGGAAAGGATAGCGTTTAAGCGAGAAACCCACCCCCTTCCCCCCGCCACCCCTGCTCCAAGAACTGCTTACCTTCACAAACTCAGAGGAAATAAAAATATTTTCTCTCACAGCAAACTCGGTATTTAAGGACTTAACGAGGATCTACAACTTCATTAGAGGCTAATTGGCTCACAAGGGACGATTTGGGCACTAATGCAAATATTCAATGAGTAACAAAGTGTTATGGCACTCAACCAAGCACAGATGTTGGAAGCCAAACCTGAAAACTGATCTAGAGGTCAGCATGGCAGAAAACAACTGTGTAAAATGCAGGCGAAAGCAATAGCTGTTTTTTAATGACTTTTTAAAATTTAAATAGGTTGCACAATAATTTAACCATTGTTTTAAAAGAAACTCTTAAACATGTTCCTAAATGCATTATATCTACACGAAGTACATTGGTTAATGTACACAACCTAGTTGATAACACTCAACAAATCTGAGGCCTTACTAGATACAAGTAAATATCGTCTAAAATAAAATGCCTTTCTGCTGTACACAACGAGATTAAGATACTTTGATGTTTCAATAAATTCTGTGGAAATGAAAGGGAAATGTTTGAGTTTGATGGGAAAGGTAGCTGCAGTAGTTTACACCATCGACTGCACTGAATGTGTTATGCCACTTTCTGGCTGACAGACAGCCTTAGCTCTAACTAATCCAGGCTTTTCTTGTTGGGCATAATAACGACAGCTTCCCTAATTACACTGCAGTTAATTCTCTCAAGGGAATCTACTTCATTTCCCCTTGAGGTGCCTTGGAAGCTTTCTAAATGAATTCAAAGGAATACCAGACAGTTGTGCAATTAAACAGAGAGAATATTACTCAGGCACATATTTCAACCATAGCATATCCACCGAGAGGGATCCTTGGAGAGGTGCCGCGCTTTCAAATGATACTGCAAAATCTTGACATTTCAATGGTCAAATTATTGCATCCAATGGGTTTACTTGACCTAGTAGGTCGCACAACTAGTGAAACATTAGGGAATAAAAACTGAATAAAGAGCTAACACGACTTGTCAAATGCTTGCCGAGTTTACAGGGGCTGGATTGACAGGAATAATGGTACCAGATTCTTGGTTCTGTCCTGGTGTACCGGTTCACAAGGGAATTACCATTGTTCTTTCTTTGTTTAGGAGTTATCGGTTAGCTATTGTGTATTGTTTGGTCTTTTGTATTGGCTCTTGTGAACCGGTACACGAGGACAGAACCCCAAATTAACTTTCTAATGGTGGAAGTGCAGAAAGTGACTTTAGAATTTCTGAGAACCACAATATGGGACAAAGAGTTCTTTGGCTTTAGTGAACTACGACACTGGTGTTGTAGTTTTTGCACTACATACCTTTGGTTTCATTATTTGCTGCAATTTTGGGCTTTGAGTAATATTTCTGCCCAGTTGCCCCTTAAAAACTAACCCCTTATCTTAGTGTTTCACCCTGAGCAAGCTGGCTAATTATGCCATTCAAGTTCAAAGCATCACACAGTTACCTTTTGTTTTTCCTTCAAAGCCACTAGATCAGGTAACATGTTAAGTACCTTAATCCTTTGGTGTTTTTTTAAAAACAATGTTTTAAATATAAAAATAAAGTACTGTAATTAATAAATCAACAGAAAAAAATTTCAACATTTTACCTCCACTCAACATTGTTTGAATTCTTACCCATTACATTTCTCCTAGAATTGTTTAAAGAATCATGGATTGATGAGGCATAACATGAAATAAAATAGAAATTGTACATCACAGACAAAACAAATGGCATTTATGACTGTGCCTGAGAAGCAACAAATGCTCAGACATACTTGTAGCAAGAAAAATATACCCTAAAATCTTGCAAACTGGTGATTTATATGTTCTAGCAATGGCATTCACACCTAACTTAACTCAATGCTTCATTACGAAGTTTGAAGTAAAAAATGATTTTAGTAAAACTTTCATCCAGCTTTTCTTCAGAGAACAGTAAAATGAATGGTAGTACTGATCATGGAATTGCATCACATATCAACTTTAAATCTATAAGAATAGTACTATTGTTACTAAAATATATCTACATATACAATGTACATCTACATGTTAAAATAATATTAAGCTGCTCTACAGCCAAAAAGCAATGACACCGTTCTCGTTGCAAAATGCAACACAGCAAAACAACAACTTTCTCTGTGTGCCATCCATGTGTGTTATGACTCGACCCAACTAATTTTGAAAAGAGCCAATTTCAAGTTACACAAATAATTAATGACCTTTTATCCACTAGACAACATGAATTTATAAAACAGGGAAATAGTCATTTCTATTTCCTACAGGTTGCAAGTATTCTGAAATAACTGTTTTGAACAGTTGTAATCCAGAAAATATATTATTTGCTTTCCATCCTTCCCTACACAAGGCCTCTTGCAGCACACAGTTGCATACCACTTAATTTCTGAAACCAAATTTTAGTGCTCCCCATTAACTGAAAGTGTTCCACAACCTTGTGCTGAAGTGGGATTGAGGTTGAACCAACCTGCCTTCAGCACAGGTTTCAGTTATAAAAAATCATATATGAGAAGGGTACTACTTTCAATAAACAGCAAATCAACTTCTCCCCCTAAATGGTGTAAATTTCAATGCTGCTTGAAGTCACCACAACACCTAGGCTACTGTTAACTTGTTAGATTCTGCAAACTCTTGAGGAATGTGCATAGCCTGGAACACAAAATATCACATTCAAATACTTATATTAATCATTTTCAAATGTGGGAAACTAACTTTAATTTGCTATGTTGCTAACATGTCCAAACTTTTGTGTCACAGTAGCAAGGGGGCTCAGTTTTTGCTGCTGTGTTCTAGGGTCAATTCTCAAACCTGGAATCACATGAGAGCCAAGTTTGTTATTACATGTAGGTTTCCCCCTTGCTCAGAGGGTTTTCATTGGGGTTCTTCCCTCCATTTTCCTCCCTCCAAAAAATTGAATACTGAAAATTCCAATTCCACCCAGAAACAGTAGACAATCCCCCAATCAAAAGAGAAAGATTTCCATATCACTGTTTGCAGTCTTAACCCTTTAGCTCCTAGGGGTAACTCTAATTTCTCCCTGAAATTTCACCCCTGGGTCGCACATTAAGGTCACAAGAATGAAGGAAATGATCACCAACCAAAGGGGCTCTTGATTGTTAAACAAATTCTCCTTGTCAGCACCTTAGGAAATGTATAGAGTAATGCTAGGAGAATATGCATGTACTGACATCAGGGTGCCACAGGTTGAGAACCCAGATCGTCTGGACAGATTATGATTCCATCCAGATAATTGTAGCCATATAATTTGTATTATTTCTGAGAATTTCTGAGATTGTCTCCATTGCCTAGGCATATGTTAATATGATAGAGCCAGTCACCTTGAGCAAGATGGTTATAAGAAAAGCAGGCTTCACAAAACAATAGTAACAATCTACATGAAAAAAAATTATGTGCATCTAATTCCTGAAAATAAGTGCATTTTTCATGTAACACAAGTGCAAAGTTGTAACACAAGTGCTAATTACAAATAGCACTAGACTTTCTGAGATGCTTTTTTCATGTTATTACCCATACAAATACAGCTGAGGATTTGACAGTAGGGCTTCCCCTAATCATTCTAAGCAACATATGGCAATCTGTGGTCTTTCCTTACACTAAGGTAGCATGGAAAGCCATAAAAATCTTGAACAAAAGCTCATCTTTCACACCAGCAGTCTAAATCCCACAGGGATCAACGAACGCTTTTCATTCCATTAATTTATTCTTGTTTTTCTCATTGCCATGTTCCCACCAATAACGTAGCTCCATTTTCTGCCTTTAAAAGCACACACAACCCACAATTCCTCTATTCGCTCCGACGAAGGGCTAACGCTCAAAACATCAGCTTTTGTAATC